TCTGCTGCTTGCGCAAATAGGGGTCAACTCGGGCATGGCAGCCTCTATGAGACACTCACCAGACCGTCTATAAACATTTCTGGTTGGGGACTCGGATTGAATCTGGCTGTGATCGTCGTCTTGACTGCGACGTTAAATAATTCCTGAAGAGATGGGGCCGCTCTTAATAATCCTCCTGATCAGCCAGATCAACCGGGTCTAAGGCTCGTCGGCGTACGAGGGTAAATAAGAGTGCTGTGGCTGCCTTGCTCGACGATGACTTGCGGCACAGGGGTGGGACCGGATTGCACACCTTTAGACACAAACTCAGGGACGTTGACACAAAGTGATTACTCAAGAAGGATAAAGGGGGAGGGGGGATTCCGGTAACTGTTCGCAGTGGCAAGCAACAAACAATCTGCCATCAAGCACACATCTCCAACAGGAGATGTTATTTTCTGTTTTGATTATCTAGCTGTTACGGACTTGCTGACAACTAACAGACAGCTACAGATAGACTAGATCTTTGCTGTATTGCAATCTGTTCCAGGGTAATCTAAAAATAAATGTAATATATCCTGTAGGACCTGACATTAGTTGTAACTACATCACCTAACTATTTCTGTCCCAGCCGACCGTAAGTAGTTGTGTATCATATGCGGATGTGTGTCAAGCTAAGGTAGGATTCAGTGTGGATTCTAGTTTAGATCACACACACTGTAGCTCATGAGTGATGCAAGCACAAGTGAGGAGGAGTTACTAGTGGACGACCGGAGGACTACTCGTAGGACTGCCCGCAGTCGAACCTTGACATTCTTGGAGTTAGGTCCAGGAGACGAGAGAAGATTGAGGAGAGAGGCTAGAGAGAGGGCAGCGACAAGGAGAGCGAGTGCAGCTGAGGACAGTGCTAGAGCTAGAATTACAGCTAGCATCAGTACAACCATGGCTACCTCACCTATGACGCAACCCTCTACACAGCCCACTTCGTCAGGAGTCAGTCGGAGTGGTACTCAGGCGGCCACTAGTCAGATTGGTCATGTGCGAGTCAGCCAATCTCCTATCACGCCGGAGGACTTGGAAATCCGGCAAGCAGAAGAACTTCAAGATGAGCTATAGCGGCAGATGGATGAAGTAGTAGAGAGGAGAAGGAAAGCTATGCAAAGAAAAGCTAGACTAGAGAGTAGATTGCAGGAGTTAGGCAAACTGGAAAGACTAGATGAGGCAACATTAGACCCTGCTGTTCGTGTGCTGCGAGGCGCCTTACTTTCAGTGGCGGAAGCGCAAAGCGTTCAACAGAAATTGTTGGCTGATTTGGTAGCAGGCCAGAAACAAATTATGGCTGAACTTCGGGGCATTCGCCCAACGGCGAGGCCGCCACAGTTTGCTGTAGTTCCCCCTGTAGGTGCCGGTCCATCATCGATGCCGCAACGCACAGGGCAAACTTTCTCTCCCATGTTTGGCACGCCCTCCCCGGGTGGTTTAGGTGCAACTAGTGGTCCGGTTCATTCAGTCTCAGCCGTACCGTCTACAACAGTGGTCACTACAGTCCCACTGTCCAGCTAGGCCTAGGTTAGTATGCAACAGCCTGTTTCAGTGGCTATGCAGACGCTGCATCAAGCACCTGGGCCCATGCAGCCGATGCAGTGGATGCCCAAGATACCTCTGATGAGTCCCAAACCTTTCTCTGGAGACGAGAAGAGGGAGGAAAACTTGGACACTTGGGTGAGGATTGTGCCTACTTATGTGAGGCACAAGCTCACAAGGCCAGAACAGGAAGTGGTAGTGGCTGCCTCCTTTTTAGAAGGATCAGCAACCCGCTGGTTGAATGGCTTGGTGCAGCAACAGGGCTACGGTCAGGATTTCGATGCGTGGGCTCAGTCTCAGACATTGGAACAGTTCGTACGGTCCGTCTACAACAGGTGGAATGACCCGCAAGGGGCTCAAAAGGCCACCGATGCTATTAACAACCTTTGTTCCCGTAGGTTCAAGGATGTTAGAGAGCTTACAGACACCGTAGAACGCCTTCTCGTGGTACCTGGTGTGCGTTGTGACCCGCAGGTTCTCCTAACGGATTACCTAAGGTGCCTACCTACAGAGGTAAGGACCAAGCTGGTTGATGAGGCCTATATCGACCAGCACACTTTTGCTTCTTTTAGTAAGAAAGCACTGGACGTAGAGGCAAAGCTAGGATCTGCGCATAAGGCATCCAATGATGGTAGGAAGAGACTGCCCCAAGATTGGAAGAAAAAGGGTCAGTTAATGTTCGTTGACCACGATGGTCAAACGACGGAGATTGATGACTACTCAGATCTTGGGGAGTTCACAGAGCACGATGGGGGTGGCGAGACTTCAGATGGTGGAGTCGTGGCACCCATCAAAGAAAAGGCTAGGGGGACTGGGAAGAAGAAGGTAGTACGGTCCACGGGTCAGGGCGACCAAGGAACACCCGCATGGGTGAAGATTGGTTTAGAATACGAGGTGTGGCGTGACCGCGTTGCTAGGGGTACATGCATGAACTGTGGCAACTTTGGCCACACGTCCAGGACTTGCCGCGGCAAGAAAGTCACAACGAAGGTAGCCTCACCAACGGTGGTGGGCTTACCTTCGAACCTTGGAAGTGCTTCTGCGAGCAGCTCACAGGGAAACACCTCGGGCCAGTAGGAGTGTTAGCCGCTCTTACTCGCGCTGAAGTGGTAACGTTGCCTTCCCCACTTCAGGCGCTGGCCAATGCTAGTGACCCAGGTATCGCCCCGCAAACACATACAAACCCACCGACGCTCTGTTTGAAAGATGTGTCTGAGGCCCTAGAAGAGTTAGAGACTGAGTGGTCAGGGAAGGACCCCAGGGACTCTTGGGAGATGATGAGTGGAGGTCCAAAGGGTGAACATTTCGTGGTAGAAGTAGATGTAGGTGGCCGCAAGATTGGCGCCTTCGCAGACACAGGCTCTACACGAAATTTCATCAGTCGTGCTTGTGTGGATAGACTGCGCTTAGGGGACCAAGTGCAGCGACTTAACAGAACTGTAGCTTCTACGCTAGCCAACAAGCACAAGATGGTAGTAAAAGACTATGTCAAGGACGTAGCCTGTTCCTTCTCCTATGGAGGAGGGGAAGTGATCCACAAGATCTCCTTCCGGGTTAGTGACGAACTTCCTTTTGATATGCTCCTAGGTATGTACTACCTCGAGGCCGCGAAACCACAGTTGGACTGGGATAGAAAGGTATTGATTCACAAGTTGCCCAACGGTAGATCTGTTAGATTGCAGAAATTCAAAGCTAGCAGTCTAATAGAAAGCTACGGGTGTATGTGTGCATCATCTTTCTATAACTATTATAAACAGAATCGCGAGGAAGGCATGTATCTAGTTTATGTCTCTGAGAAAGGGGAGGCCGTAAAATCACCCCCAGAGATAGAAAAAGTCGTCGCTCAATATTGAGACCTTTTTTAGGAGCCCACAGGCGTGGTGGAAAGGGAGGTGGTCCATGCAATAGAGGCTGTCCCAGGTAGTAAGGTGCCTAGAGGACGAATCTATAGGGTGTCTCCTGCGGAGTTAGATGAGCTTCGCCGCCAGCTTAAAGAGCTCACAGAGAAGGGATGGATACGGCCTAGTACCTCCCCTTACGGTGCGCCAGTCTTATTTGTTCCTAAGAAGGGAGGTCCATTAAGGATGTGCATTGACTATAGGGGCCTCAATGCCATCACCGTAAAGAACGCGGAGCCCCTACCCCGCATTGACGACCTCTTGGATAGAGTGCAGGGAAGTCGGTACTTCACAAAGATAAGATCTGAAGTCCGGATACCATCAAATTGCCGTTAAGCCTGAGGACCAATACAAAACCGCATTTCAGACCAGATACGGTCTGTACGAGTTTGTGGTGATGCCTTTTGGCCTTTGCAATGCGCCTGGTACGTTCCAGCACGCGATGAATAGGATCTTTCATGACTACTTGGACAAGTTTATCGTCGTGTACCTCGACGATATTCTCATCTTCAGTAGGACTGTAGAGGAGCACGCTGAGCACTTGAAAATAGTGCGAGGTCTCCTAAGACAGCACCAGTACAAGGTAAACTTGGATAAATGCGAGTTTGGTCGCACCAAGATCTTGTATTTGGGTCATGAAATTTCAGCAGATGGATTGAGGCCGGAAGATGCGAAAGTGGCCAGCATATGTGACTGGCCCAGACCTCAAACTGTTACTGACGTCAGATCGTTTTTGGGGATGACGGGCTACTATCGTCTGTTTGTGAAAAACTATAGTACTATAGCTTCCCCATTGACAGATCTTACTCGACTTGACACCCCTTGGGAGTGGACTGAAGAGTGTGAGGCAAGCTTCAAGCAATTGAAGTATGATCTAACACACTATGAAGTTCTCAAACTTCCCGATCCTGACAAGCCGTTTGTCGTGACAACAGACGCCAGCCAATATGGCATTGGCGCTGTCCTTGCACAACAGGAAGGGCCAAAGTTGAGATCGATCGAGTATATGAGTAAGAAGATGCCTTCCAAGAAGCTAGCTGCGTCCACTTATGAAAGAGAGCTCTACGCCCTATATAGAGCGCTAGTTCATTGGCGACATTACCGCCTAGGGAGATTTTTCTATGCGAGGTTTGACCATGAGACTCTGCGCTGGATTAAGACGCAGCCCGATTTGTCTGACGCACTCAAGAGATGGATTCAAGTGATAGATATGTATGACTATTAACTTGATCCTATCAAAGGTTCGTACAACAAAGTGGCAAATGCGCTGTCAAGAAGGGCAGACTATCTAGGCGCACTAGTAATTGAATTTGACATATCTAATGATCTTACTCGATCACTGGTGGAAGCCTATCAGGGAGATACAGTTATGTCAGAGATCATTCGTAAATTCCAAGCAAAGGACAAGAAGACTTTGGACGAATTTACCATGGTAGATGGCTTGCTGTTCCTTGAAAAGGCAGGGTTTAAAAGACTATGTGTCCCGGATAGTGAGTCTTTGCGTAGTTTATTTTTAGGAGAATGTCATGATGCTGTAGGTCATTTTGGTTATAAGAAGACATCAACAAACTTTGGTGGCCTTCTATGATGAAGGATGCAAAACTGTATGTCGAGACTTGTCAGGTTTGTCAAAGAGACAAACCCAGGACTCAGGCTCCGCTTGGGCTGATCAAGCCCTTGCCGATCCCTGAAGGTCCAGGTCAGAGTGTCTCCATGGATTTTATGGACACTCTTGTGACCAGCAAAACCGGCAAACGACACATATTCGTCATAGTAGATCGCTTTACTAAGTATGCCAGACTTATCGCTATGTCGGAGACAGCAAAGATAGATCACGTCATCAAACTGTTTATGGATAACTGGGTAAGGGATTTCGGTCTACCTACGTCTATCGTAAGSGACAGGGATGTAAGATTTACCAGCGAACTGTGGCAGTCTACAGCTGAATAGATGGGAACCAAATTCCAGATGACATCAGGGAATCATCCTGAGTCAAATGGACAGGCAGAAYAGATGAACCGAGTGGTACAACATTTGCTGCGGCACTACATCAAGCCAAGTCAGGATGACGCGGACGAGAAGTTACCTCTCGTCGCCAGCCTGTATAATAATGCAGTGCACAGTGCTACCGGAATGACTCCCAACCAACTGCATCTTGGTTGGAAGCCTAGAACTGCCTTGGACTTCTTACTACCGGAAAGAGAATCCACTGCAGCACCTGGCAGCATAGAGTTTGCTGTTAAGTATGAACAGATGCTGCAGCAAGCCGTAGAGCACATTAGAAAAACTCAAGATGCAATGATAGTATCTGAGAATAAGCATAGACAACCTTCTAATTTCCAGGTAGGTGATAGAGTTTGGGTAAAAGCATCTGAACTTGGTCAGGAGCTAGGAATCTCTAGAAAATTGATGCCACAATTCTTCGGTCCGTGGGAGGTCCTAGATGTGATAGGAGATCAACCGGATGGGCCATCCTATGTGATTCGCATCCCACCCCATCTACGCACCTACCCTGTATTCCATGCTTCAAAGTTGGCACCTTTCGCTGCATTGAGCAGTTTCCTTCCAGGAAATCAATGCTGCCCCCAACCATGTATGGCGAAGTGGACATCGACTAGATTGTCGAGCATCGAGTGATGCCTGTTCCACGACCATCAGGCACAGGGCGCCCTCCTAAACCGAGAATGCAGTACCGGGTGAGCTTTAGACATCACCTCGATCCCAAGGAAGATCGCTGGTTTACACGGGAAGAACTCATGAGAACAGCGCCTCAAGTGATTGCAGGCTATGAAAGAGAACGAAAAGGGAAGATGCCTGCARAATAAGAGACTTCTCAGAGGACTCACGAAGTTAAGGAGGAGGGAATGCGAGGATCAGCGTCCTCGGTAGGCCTACTGGGCCCTGTCTGCAGCCTTACCCGCCCTAAGTGAAGGCGGAGGTGCCCGCCCTAAGTGAAGGCGGGCCTGGCTTTTTGCAAG